TTTTCCTTGTTACTTTTGTTGTTATTTATTATCAATAGTAGTAGGAATGTGTATATTTCATTTAGCTATTGTTATTGTTATTATTAATTATCATCATTAAGCAATTTACATATATGGTACGCTCTATTTACCAACTGTGATATGAGATAACCAGAGTTATTATTAACTTTATCACTTATGCTCAGAACTACATTACTTAACTATCCATCCCACCTGCTAACCTTTTATATTTATATTGCTTCTTATAATTTCATTCTTCACTCGCATTTATGTATTGTCACTTTCTTCCAGTGATAATGTGCTTGCTATTTGCCTCTCTGTACTTCTTTCTCATTCTCATCTACCTTCCTACTTCTACTGTCTTCATCATCTCCTCCATCTCACTTCACTCTCACTTTCACCTCCTATTCATTCCTCACTCTCCATCTCTCTTATAGATCACTTTATACTAGACTTTTCATCTTAATTCTCACTTACTCTCTTTACTTCACTCCTATTTTCTTCATTTACTCTGGCTTTACTACTTCTTGCTTTTCATGCTAGTCTTTATCCTTCATTTATTACTCTATACTTATCTTCTTCCAACTTACTCTAGACTTTCTATGACTGTTTTCTTTCCATCTTTTTCTGTTACATGTCATCTATCTCATTATTCAGACTATTTATTGGAACACGAGTTAGGACGCCACGTATCTTTTTCCCTCCCTATCATTCACTACACGAAGAGAACAGAGTTTATGGTTAAGATGTCCTCATTTTAATCCTTACCATTAGTGGTAGGTCCATCTCACTCTCGATATCTTTTACTTCTCTCCATAATATATCTCTATTTAGTTCTCTCATCATTCCATCTTCTTCTTCACTCATTCACTTCGCAGATTCCTTATCCTCTCATTCTCACCTTACTCTATCCTGTCTCATTACTAATTCTTCACTCTTCCCATTTTCTATTTCATCTCCTATTAATTCCTATCTCCATCATTCATATCTCCCATTACTTTATCCTCTCTCCTCATTTCAATTTTTATTATTGTTCATCCTACTTCACTCTAGATCATCACTTAGATCACTCCATCATCGATTCATTCTCATATCCTATTCTAGTTTCCCTCATCCCTGAGCTTCAGTTATCTCTACTTCACCTCTTGATCTATCTGCTCTTCCCTCCCTGATCTCCTTCCGATCGCCCCCCCCCCTCTCTTCCTCCTTTCCTCCCTTCCCCTCTCCTCCCCCTCCACTCCCTTCCCTCTCCTCCTCTTGACCCCTCCCCCCTCTCCCTCCCCATCTCCTCCTATCCTTCCTTCCCCTCTCCCCCCCTCCTTCCCTCCCCTCCTCCTTCCTTTCCCCTCCCCGCCTCCCTCCTCCTCCCCCTCCCTCCTCCTTCCTTTCCCTCCTTCCCCTTCCTTCCCTCGCCCATTCTTTAGGATTAACACCTTCCTCACTTTGTCACATTCACTCACTACAATATTGGTTTCTTGGGTCTTATGTCTTTATGGACTGTTTTCGCTTCCGCGCGATGTGTTGCTTAAGGGCGCGTGTTTTTTGCTTTTATTTTTTTGTTTTATTATTTTTATATTTTTTATTGTTATTACACTTTGTTATTATTATTATTATTATTTATTATTATTATTATTATTATTATTATTATTATTATTATTTTGTTGTTGTTGTTGTTATTATTATTATTATTTATTATTATTATTATTATTATTATTATTATTATTATTATCATTATTATCATTATCATTATTATTAATTATTTTTATTATTATTATTATTATATTAATTATTATTATTATTATTATTATTATTATTATTATTATTATATTATTATTATTATTATTATTATTATTATTATTATTATTATTTTCATTATTATCATTGTTATTGTTATTATTATTATTATTATTATTCATTACATTATTTATTATTATTATTATTATTATTATTATTATTATTATTAATTATTATTTATGTTATTATTATTATCATTATTATTATTATTACCTTTGTTATTTTTTCTTTGTCTTGGGTATCGTTTCGGGGATTTCATGGCGTTTTGTAAAAAATGGTAATGGTGATAATAATTAGAAAATGATAATGATAATGAGTGATAGAAAAAGAAAGAAAAGATTTACATGGTGATAGGGACGTACAGTAATTGATGTCATAGTACTACTTACTTGTATTGTTTGCGTTTATTTCTCTCTCTTTCTCTATTCTCTCTCTCTCTCTCTCTATTTCTCTCCTCTCTCTCTCTCTATTTCTCTCTCTCTCTTCTCTCTCTATTTCAGATCTTTCTCTCTCTCTCTCTCTCTGTCTCTCTCTCTCTCTCTCTCTTCTCTCTCTCTCTCTCTCTCTCTCTCTCTCTCTCTCTCTCTCTCTCTCTCTCTCTCTCTCTCTCTTCTCTGTCTCTTCTCTTCTTCTCCTTGTTTTTTTTCCTCTCTTTTGCTCAGAATCATCCATCTTGGCTCCTGTCATCGAAGCACCTCCTTAACCACCATCCTTCGCTTCCCCTCTTCTCCCCTTCTCTCTCCCCTCCTGTTCCCTTTTCCATCTGCCTTTCCCCTCTCCTCTTCTCTTCTCTTTCCTTTCTTCCTCTTCCTTCCTCTCTCCCTTTATCTTTTCCCGCATCTCCCAACTCTTTTTCTGTCCTCTCTCTATTCACACCCCTTTATTACCTCTCTTTCTTTCTCTTCCTATCTTCCCATCTCTCTTTCCCCTCTCTCTCATTTCTCATTGCCCTCCTTCTCCCTCTCCTCTATCATATCCTTCCCTCTCTCCTCTTCGTCCTCTCTCTCTCTTCTCATTTCTCTTCCTCTCCGCTCTTCCTCCCTTCCCTCTCCTCTCTCCTCTTCTTCCTCTCTCTTCTTCTCATGCCCTTCTCTCCCCCTCTCCCTCCCTTCCCTCCCTCTCTCCTTTCCCTTCCTCTCCCCTCTTCCTCTCTCATTTCCCTTCCTCTCCCCTCTTCCTCCCTTCCTCCCCTGTCTCTAATCCCCCCTCTCCCCTCTCCCCTCCTCCCCTCCCTTCCCTCCCTCCCCTCCCCTCCCTCGCCGGCACTCCAGGGCTGCCGTTCATCAGTTGGGCAAACACACCATAATGAAATGTGTTACCCTTAATGTCCAGGAGGCTTGTTATATAGCGCAGAGGAGTCAATACAGGATGTGCTATGGTGGCAGCGGTGGCGTGGTATGGTGATGATAGTGCTCCTTCGGGCTGTAATTGTGCTAAGAGCCGGTGGGGTGATTTAAGGCTGCTTGGGTCGAATGGGGTGGCGATGCCGGCTCGATAAGGGAGGGAGTGTGAGGTTAAAGCTGTAGGGGTGTTGTCATTTTGTAAGCGGAGTGATGGAGTGGGTGGTGTTTCGGTCGAATCGTCTGTGTTAGTGACGATTCGGGGTTAACCATAATGTTTAGTGTTGTATTTTAGTTTCCTGTGGCAGAAAAAAAGGTTATATTAGTTAGTATTTGTATTTTATTATGGGGTTATCTCATTTTGCAGTGTGGTATGATTATTATGTGCAATAGGAATATTTATAATAGCTAATGGAATATTTTTTTATGTGAATTTAGATTTTGAGTAAAGAATTTTGATACAAATGATTATGAAAATACGCCATTTTATTTACATGCGTATCCCTCGGTGAAAGAAAAATATCAAAACATCCACTTCTCAAAACATCCAACATCATAGATCAATCTCACCCTACAGAAAATATATCAAAATCAGAAATACGCCCGCATTATCAATCCATACAAGACCCCCCTCCCAAACCCAGACCAAATTTCGACAACAGAAAACGGAGGCCAAGAACCCAACCGTCCTTCTCTCTGTCTCTCTCTCTCTCTCTCCCCGGCCATGTGAGGGACTCATGCCGGATTAAATATCTTCTGTTTCACAATGACTTAAAACTGTCCAAACAGCGCGTGATTCACCCCTGTCAACATAACGACTAATGGGAAAACCTGATGCTACTTTGGCTGTGGGCGTGAGGGTGGTAAATCTATAACAGGGGCGGGGGGGGGGGGCGGAAAGGGGGTATAGGCCTAACGCACGATGGCTATGGGTGGCGTTCCGATTTTTTTTCAATCAGGGACTTATCAGCAAGGATGCAGTAGTTTGTATTGTTATTATTTTTACGGTTATCATTATCACGGCTATATTATTAGTTGTAGATATGGTAGTAGTAGTGATGTTATAGTTAATGATAATGATATTATTTATTATTATTAATATTAATATTTTAACATCATAATTATCATCATTATTATAATTGTATTAACATCATCACCATCATCTTTATTATTATTAATTATTATTATTATATTATTATTATTATTATTGTTATTATTGTTATTATCATTATTGTTATTATTTTTATTACTATTGTCATTATCATCATTCGCATTATCGTTTTTTATTATCACTATCATTACTGCTATAATTGTTATCATTATGTTATTATTTCCAAATTCATTGTTATTTACTGTGATTTCTATCTACATCCTATTACGATTATTTCATTATATTTTTTTTACATACATCGCCATCATAATCTCATTCCTTCATATTTTTCAGCATCAATTTTTATTATTGATATCGCATAAAACTCGTAACACATATTTTTAATCGTTACTGTCACAGTGAGTAACGGCAGTATGTTAGACATTTTGTGTGTATATGTATATATGTATATATATGTATAATACATATATATATATATATTATATATATATATATATATATATATATATATATATATATATATATATATATATATATATATATATATATATATATATATATATGGTGGCTTATGATGGTATTATTATCATTATTATCATTATCATATTGATATTATTGTCATTATGATTATTATTATCATTA